TGCATGCCTTGCCAGGAAAAGTGGCCTTTGCCAATCACTGCCATCTTATCGTTGGCCTTCCTTTAACGCCCGAAATGCAGGGAATGTTCCACACATTTAGGCATTTAGCATTGATCTTTMYGACAGCAATTTCAGGGGTTCACTTCGTTTGCTATTAACATATCGAGGATCCTATTAATGAATAGTTATTGTATGTATGATAGGTAACTGTAAAGACGTGTATCCTCAGCACTGTCCCGATTACAAGAAYAATGGATTYTGCTGTACTGGTAAACATGCAGCGTACTGTAGYGAAGTCTGCAAATTTACTTGTGGCTATTGTACGTAATGTTTTCCTAAATAAGTTCACTTATTTATTTCTGCAGTTAATCTGTGGTTTGTTAAATCCAGTATAAATTTCTAATTATGTATTTCTTTATTTGACCAGGTTCATAATCTGGAAATGCTCAGGACAAAACGAGAGCAAAGAGTAGATTAGAAAGCCTTGTTGGGTAATACTAATATAATAAAGCTTATTATTACAAAATATTTTGTTTCATCAAAACCTCATAGTTTTCACATTGCCTCAATTATACACAATCAGTTACTAATAAGACGTCCACCAATGTCCTACGCAGTTGTTAATCTATTTAGCTTCACTAAAGAACTCGACAACTCATAAACGCGCGCAATATTGATTGAAAAAATGTAGTCCACAGTTTTATAAAAACCACTCTATAAAAGGTGGTAAAGAGATATATAATTTTGTCAGTGGTCACATGATCCTCGGCCCAAAACATTTATCCCTGATCCCACAAAATGACGAAAAATGTGATCCATGAGCTTCAAAATGGCGCAAATCCATGCTTCCAAATACCGCATTACTACCCAGAGCCTAATTATTCAGATTTACTTTATATTGATTCGATAATTCGTCATTAGATTTGAATAGCATAAGAAGTAGGTTACTATTTTTATGCCTAGAATGTGATCTTTAAATGATGGATATCATTCTTGTATATACATACATTTATTCCGCCCTCGCTCACATGTAGATTCTTATTGTCTATATTTTAAAAATTTCAAAAAAATTATAATGCATCAGTAGTCATTTGCGCAGGTTTAWAATRTTAATTCTTAAACAATATCATCGAGTACATTAGAAACGGAACCGGCATTACATTAATAAGCCTTAAACTAAAAAGCCACTYACAGAGAACAAGGTGTTGCGGTGGCGGGAACAGCGKAATCTAGCGSAAAACAATAACATAACCTTGATGCGARAWCAGTCAATAACTAAGCACAAAACTGGCTAAYATTGACATMGGTAACATCTGTTTGCTGGTTGCCTCCAAGGTTATCGATCTATATATGTATAGAATAACTTACCATAATACTCAGACAGCCAAGACAATAGGATTTCATATATTTTGAAATGACAACACTGACCGCTGATTAAACCGCTCTGATCTAGCACTGTATTATTGAATTTTCCTGAGTGCGAAGGTTTGACTGTYTATTGGAAAAGCTGATCACCGTGGCAATTTCTCCTTCTTCTTCTCCCGTGCCGCGGTTCTCGGTAAAATAGATACTTTACTGTAAGTACTGTATGACATCTGGCTGTAATATGGTTTGCTAAGAACAGGATCTAAAATGCTTTATAATTTCTTCTATTCTTCATCGCAATTTCCTTATCGTTAATTTTCGCACTTTGATGAAGCACTAAAGTTTTCATATGGGAAGTGAGACTATAATGACGTTTTGAATTTTCTCCATATATTCTATGGGTGGGTTTGTATGCATAACAGCTTAGTAGAATTCTGTGTGATTTGGAGCTTATATTGAAATCCTAGGATTTGAGCGTCATCAGCTGAGTAAATGTTTTTCACTATTCAACATAACAGGAAGACTATACCTGGCACGTATTTCTTTCGCAGTCACGTGAGTTCAGTACGAATCAACAAAGAAAATCGTTATAGAATGAAGTTAAAAAAACCGTGAAATAGATCCAACACTAATACACCTTAGTGCGCTCTAATTACATTGTATTTTGTGTCTATTCGACTATTAGACTTTAATAATCAAGTTTTGTTTCACATTGGTTTAA